AACGAGAAGGGAACGAGAAGGGAAAGCAAAGGCAAAACCCTAGTGATGAAAGAAAGGGGTAAAGAACTAAAGAGGTTCCATGCGCTAAAGAAAAAATCGTCGAAATAGGAAGGCTATGAGAAGAGAAAACATCACATTCGAAAAAACTCATAAGCTCTCTCATATCTGCGATTAGAAGAAGAAAACTGCTCGTTATACCTCAGATCTGTCGATCGGGGGGCTACGAAGCAAGACGACGAAGGAGAGCCGCGAGGGAAGTTGTTAGGGCTGAAGAGAAACGAAAGGGATAAGCGGGACAATAGTTCAGAGGAAAGCGGGGCCGCGGGGCTAATATCGCGGCCCGCTTTCTCTTTGCCAAAGTTTTGCCGCAAAGCTTCGAACCAAACACCGCACTGCGGGACGAAGCCGCTGTCGCACGCCGCGCCGCGCAGCAGAAGCCGAACCAAACAGGGCCTTATACACTTAGTTTCAAGTGATACAACTAAAATGACTTTCACCAAGAACACATTGATGTTCAATTTTCTTATGAGCATTCAGTCGATTTTGATGGATCGATTTTAAAATTAGTCGAACTGATGGCAATTGTAATCCAAAATCCAGAAAATCAAATCAATCTAAATTTTGATACAACCAAACCGTTGAACCAAAATTTAATTCGGTCTTAAAAGTTCGGTTATGAACAAACTGAAGTTTAATTGTTTATTGGAGTTTTGCTAGGAATGAGCATTATGAATTACATATCTTTTTTAATATAATATCAATTTGATTTCATAAATCATCTATTTATTTCAATCAAATCTTGCATACAATAAAAATTTAGATTTTTTAAATTTTATTCGACATAAAATTAAAATATAAGAAAAATTAATACAGTTTCTCAATTTGTTTGTTTGAATGAAAATGTAAATCAAACCAAAAACCGAACATTAAAGTTTTAAAAATAAAAAACCAAAGTCAATTTTTGAAACAAAAACGAACCAACCATACTTGATCGACTAGGATCAATTTTTCGATTTTGACCAAATAACGCACACCTCCACTCTAATGATGGTTTTTTAGAACATTGTTGATTGTTCTATAAAATACTATCTTGTTGACATTTTAACTAAATGGCTCATATCAAGCAAACTAAAGGGTGTTATTGAAAATTTTGATTTGAGAATTAATTTGGAGAAGCCAAGAAGATTTCTAGAAAGATATAACTAGAGATAAAATCACATTTTCTTAGAACTTATCATAATCTCAATACAATGAAAATATGATGTCGATATGTCATATCGTGAAAGTGAAGATGATTGCTATGTACATGATGCAATATCGTGAAAGATTTAACGATGAAACATTTATAGGTGCAACAAAAGTTCTTAAGTTATTGTAATGATGAAACATTTATAGACTTTCCACCCTTTTTAGTGGAGTTTCTAAAAATATGATCAACCTTAGTGTTCTTAATATCATGTATAATAATAAAACATTTCATTTCTACTGTCGAATTAGTAAAAAAGAAGTTGAGGAGGCTTTACGGAAAATCAAGAGTGGAAAGTCTGTAGGACCTGATGATATCCCAATTGAAGTGTGGAAATATTTGGGAGTTTCTTGGCTTACTAAACTCTTTAATATTATTTTGAAAAACTAAAAAGATGCCTGAGGAGTGGAGGAAGAGTATTTTGGTCCCCATTTTTAAGAAAAAAGGGGATGCACAAGAGTGTGCAAATTATAGAGGAATTAAGTTGATGTGTCATGCTTTAAAGTTATGGGAGAGGGTAATTGAACATAGGTTAAGACACATCACAAAGATTTCTCATAATCAATTTGGATTTATGTCGGGCAGGCCTACTATGGAAGCTATATATTTATTAAGAGGTTTGATGGAGAAGTTCAGAGATAATAAGGAGAATCTACATTTGATTTTTATTGATTTAGAAAAAGTTTACAATAAGATTCCAAGAGATATCCTTTGGAGAGCTCTTGAGAAGAATGTTGTTGATATGACTTATATTCAAGTCATTAAAGATATGTATACTAGAGCTGTTACTTGTGTTCAAACTGAAGGAGGATTGACCAAATATTTTCCTATTTATGTTGGATTACATCGGGATCGGCTTTAAGCCCATATCTTTGTGCTTTAGTTATGGATGGTCTTACTTGACATCTTCAGGACGATGTACCTTGGTGTATGCTTTTTGTTGATGATATCCTTCTATTGGATAAAATGAGAGAAAATGGATAAAAAAAACTTGAATTATGGAGGTCTACATTGGACTTTCAAGGCCTTCATTTGAGGAAAAACTTGAATTATGGAGGGCCACATTGGAGTCTAATCATTTGAATTTAAATAGAACTAAAATTGAATACATGGAATGTAATTTTAGTAGTAGTAGCTCTAGTGACAGAAGTGTGACTTTGGGTGATCAAATTATTAAAAAAGTGTGAACGATTTAGATATTTTGGGTATAGTAGAATTCAAGTTGGTTGGTTGAAGTGGAGGAATGCTTCGGGCCTTTTGTGTGATAGAAAAGTACCGCTTAGACTGAAAGGAAAATTTTATAAGACGGTGGTGAGACCTGCAATGTTATATGGTGTTGAATGTTGGCCTTTGAAAGGGAAGCATAATAATAAGTTAAGTGTTGTCGAGATGAGAATGATTAGGTGGATGAGTGGCTTTACACTTAGATACAAAATGTGAAATGAATATATCCGTAATAGGGTTGGTGTAGCTTCTGTGACGGACAAAATTAAAGAAAGTTGTCTTAGATGGTTTGGTCACATTAAACATCGACCATCTGATGATCTGATTAGGAGAGTAGATGTTTTAGATTCAACTTGTGTTAAGAAAGGCAGAGGTGGACCTAGGAAGACTTGGGCTTATTGTATTAAAAATGAATTTAATTTACTAGAACTAAATGAAAATATGACACTAAATAAGACACAATGGAGAAAAAGGATTCATGTAGCCGATCCCACGTAGTGGGATTAAGGCTTAGTTGTTGTTGTTGTTGTATGTTAAATCAAAAGATTAAACAATGAGAAGCTATAAAGTAGATCAATCACAACTTGAAAAGGTTTAATTTAATTTACATTAATTATATTTTATTGGAACCAATCAAAAGAGTATGTTGCTTTCTTTTGTGACATGAAAGTATTATTCCCTCGTTACAACATGCATATTCTTAGAAGGAATAAATTATGTAAATCTCAAGTGTCACCAAGTGTCAATACATATGCAACTTGCTTGAAATAAAGCCTCACTAGTCAAAATCAAAGGAGAAGAGTTGAACACCTCCACTAATATTTTTACAAAAAATGATATCTATCAATAGGTTAAAGCTTTACAAAATGAATCATCTTAAATGAAATTATGGAGTGATGCACTAGAAAATATTTTGGAGTTGTTTGGTTGGCAACAAAAAAGATTACTTTACATTTACTTTAAAGGAATTTTGAAAGTACTGTTGTTTGAGCCGAAGACAAATAAATAAAGTGCAAAATTTCTATGTTTTTGATATTTTATTCTTTAGTTTGATTTCAATGCATTTGAAATTTATTGGATTTGGGTAAGTTATGAATACAGCGTCTATGTAAAAGTGTTATACGTTGCCATCATCTACCATTGCACCCCTAACTCATCCGTTGTCTTTGTCCATCGGCTACCACCACCATCATATTAGCCATCTGCCGCCCCCTTCGGCTATTAACTACCAACCACAAGTACCCCCACCCGCCGCCCTCTACGGCAGCCAACCACTAAGTGATGTATTCTACATTAATTTATTTTTCTTTCAACAGAACAAAAAATATATAAAATATTGCATTTATTTTGTGACATTAAGTATAAAAAAATTTCCATATCTGAATTATCAATTATTAACATTATAGAGCCAATATTTCAAATTATAAAATCATTATAATATATATCTAAATTTACACTTGAAATTCAAATCTTTGAATAATACACTTTTTGGACTATATAAATATTTTAAAAACCTTCTCATATAAAGATATTTAAAAGATCATTTAATTATTTTAAGAGATCTCATGATATCTTATGAGACTTTATGATAAAGTATATGCTTTCAAATTTATATTTTTGTAACCATTATAATAAAACCTTTGAAAAAATTACTCAAACAAATGTTGGCAAGAGAGAGAGAGAGAGAGAGAGAGAGAGAGAGAGAGAGAGAGAGAGAGAGAGAGAGAGGAGAGGAGGCTATTATAAGCATATATCTAGAACATATTATATAACAGAAAAATACAAAGTTTCATTTGTAAGAAAAAAAAAAAAACAACTTGACAATATTTCCTATTTCCACTATTTTCTTAAAAAAATTTCACTCAGCTTCTTTTACTAAGCTATGAAGGCCCAAAGAGGCAGCTTTATTCCTGACCATTTTATTGGCATGAGAGGAGTTATTGAGATTAATCAACAGCAACTGGTTGCATCAGCTCTGCCTCTTTCTTTAAATCTTCAAATAAAACAGATGACAAATACCTCTCTCCCAGGCTTGGATGAACAGTCTGCTCCACAAGTTCAGTATTTAGAACTTACAACCAAATGAACAATATGGTAAGAAATTCAACAAAAATACTATGAAATTGAAAATAAAATAAAAAATGGAGGAACTTTTTTATTGGCTTATGGATTTAAAACAAAATAATAATAATAATAATAATAATAAGTTGTGTGGTAAATATCTATGACAAGAAAATATAGAAACCTAAAATGGATCTACACCAACATGGAAGTGAAGGATGAAGAAAGAAAGGAGAGAAATAAGGCATAAATCTTATTGTGCATTTGTGCCTGTGCATAGAATGGAAGCTTCTATTTTAAATTAAATTAAATAGAATAAAAAAAATTATTGCTGACTACCGGCTCACTCACTCGCTATTTACTATTTATTGGTTGACCAGCTGACTAACCAACAAACTGTATATCTGACTGTGTCTGCCTGCCTACCTCTCTGCCCCTCTCTCTCTCTCTCTCTCTCTCTCTCTCTCTATATATATATATATATATATCTCTTTCTCGCTCTCTAGTTTTCTCTAATTCTTTCTCTATTCATCTCTTTCTCTCTCTATCCATCTCTCCATATTATTTTTTGGTCTATCTATTTCTCTCTATACGTGTATTTATCTATCTACCTATCTTTCTATCTCTCAACCTATTTGTCTATCTATCTTTCTATCTGTCTATATATATCTATTTATTTATCTCTTCATCTGTCTGTGTCTATTTATTTACTTGTCTGTCTATTTATGTCTCTTTGCCTCTTTTTTCTGTCCTCTTTATTGTTATTATGTGGAGTTTGGTTGTGTTATTCATTTGGTCACTCAAAACCCTCGGTTTCGTACATCGATCAAGCTTGACGGTGAGTTTGTCGCGTGCAGAGGACATAGTAGGGTGTTCCCACTATTTTGGGTTTGGGGGCGTTGCCTCCAAAATTTTTTTCTATACCCAACACTCTAGCGTCGGACCAGTAGTTCCCCAATGCCGAGGCCAAGTTTCAGAACCCAAGAGCGCGACACTCATGTTACCAAAAGAAGAATCAAATGATAGCAAATGCTACAAGACGAGACTTGTTATGAAGGGATTTTAACAAAAGAAATGAATTGATTGTACTGAGATATTTTCTCTCAGTGAATGTGACAACTATCAGGCTGTGTTGGGTTTCATAGCAGTGAAAGTTTTACATCTATAGCAGATTGATGTGAAAACAAGCTTCTTACAAAGTGACTTAGAAGAAGAATAATACATGGTGCAATCACAGGGATAAGAAGTTCCAAGAAAAGAAGATTTGAGAAGTTTATGTCGGACAATAGGTACAAGAAGTGTCAAACAGATCATTGTTGCTTTATTAAGTATTCTAATAATTATTATATTGTGCTTCTTTCGTATGTGCATGATATGTTGATTGCAGCATGCATGAAGAAAATTTGAGACTTGAATGAGCAATTATTAAGAGAGTTTGAAATGAAGAATTTAGCTTCAACAAATAAAATCTTTGGTATGAGAATTAGTAGGGACAAGTGTGCAGGTATATTGAAGTTGTTACCGACACAATATGTTGGAATGTTCTACACATATTCAACATAAGAAGAATCAGTTTGCACCCCTTTAAGTAGTCATTTTAAACTATCTAAGGAATAATCGCCTAAGTCTTAAGCTGAGCAAATGCTGATGAAAAGAATGCCTATGTTTCAGCTTTTAGAAGGTTAATGTATGTGATGATATATATAAGACCAAATATTACACATGCAATAAGAGTAGTCAATTGATAGATAAGTAATCCAAGTAAATATCAAAGGGAGAAAGTGAAGTGGATTCATAGATATTTTAGAGGAAAAATAAACAAAGTACATTGCTTTGGAAGTACAAAAATTAATCTACAGGGATATGTAGATTTGATGATATAAGAAGTACAACATGTTATATATGCCCTTAGGGGAACATAATAGTCAGTTGAGTTTCCATATTATAAAAGATCATTGCTCCATCGACCACAGAAGCTGAGTATCCTGCGATCATTGAGGCTAAAAAATAAATGACTTGGCTATAGAGCTTTATGACAGAACTTTATAATGAGCAAGAGAATGCTAAATTTCAAAATGACAGTACGAGTGTTATTGATCTAACATAGAACATTGTATTATATGTCAGGACAAAACATATTTAGATAATGTATCATTTCATTTGTTCACTCCTAGAAGATTGTCAATTATCTTTGGAAAAGACACATACAACTCAGAATCTTGCAAACATGTTGACTAAGACCATGAAAACCAAGAAACTGAAACCACGCTTAGCTTCAATTGAAATTCAGCAAGATTGAGATAGGGGTGAACCATATTACAATTCAAAATTATAAAGATATTACAGATTTAGAAGAGCAGGATTAATTGTAACCAGTCTCCAAGTAGGAGATTGTTATTATGTGAAGCTTGATTGTATCATTCATTTGTTCACTTAAAGTCCTCAGTTTCACTGATCACATTTTACAATGAGTCTGTGGTATCCCTATATCTTTGGGTTCGAGTGCACTGCCCCAATTTTTCTTTTTTCTGCACTTAGCCCCTGTGTCAAGCTTATGTTTCAAAACCAGAGAGCAAGACACTCAAGCGCCTAAAGGGGAGAATCGCAGCGCCCAAAAGTAGCGCCCCAAGTTTCGTCTTCCTGTGGGAAACGTGTGTGTTGAACGATTAAATTTTAAAGTTTTCTATTGTTTGATGGAGAGAATGAGTCTCTTGAAGTGTTGCAAAAAGAGGAAGGGCTTGGGTGTGGTGTAATTTGTATAATTCTTCTCATTCTTTTTATGATATATTTTTTTGTGTGGTGCGGCTTCGTTATTTTTCCGGTTATCAGGTTTTCCACACACACACACACACAAACAACATAAGAACGCCCCAAAATTTCTAGTTATCAGGTTTCCCTTATTTATTCGGTTATCAGATAGATACATGTATCTTTGTGTGTGTGTGTGTGTGTGTGTGTGTGTGTGTGGTGTTTGTGTGTTACATGTCTGTGTGTGCGCATGCGCGAACCGGCTTACTTTTTGGTAGACATATTGTGTTATGTGTAAGACCCCTGAGGTCCCGGGTTCGAGGCTCGCCTTGAACAACACATGAGGTGGATCTTTGCGATCCATCTTTTAATTAAAAAAAAGTATGTATGTATATATGTATATGCATATATGTATGCACATATGTATGTACGTTTGTATGTATGTGTGCATGTATATATCTATGTTTGTGTGCACGTGAGTGTGTGTGCGTGTATTTATTTATTATTATTATTTCTATAATTTTATCTATAGCAATGGAATTTGCACTATTAGGGTAGGTGGCAGGATTTATACCTGAGCCACATAGAATCACCAATTTTCGGTTATTCTATTTAATTTCTCTCTTCTTTTGTACTATATGAAAGAAACTACAGCAAGATACACTACCCGAGGAAAGATATGTTTCCCTTATGGCATCAATAAATAAAAAATAATAATTGAAAAAAAACCTTAAGTTGATCCTTACCACTATAAGTTTACCCTTGTTCTCTGGCATTCTAGCAAGCCTAAGAGCGGCAACTGTGTTGGCTCCTGAGGATATCCCAACCTGCAAAACAAGATCATAGAGATCAAACAGTTCATTGCTAATGGTGCTGAGCTGTTCAGAATACAAATACAATCATGTTTTTTTGAACAATCTTCATAAAATAATTACAATTTGAAGGAGTGGGGCTAATTTAAATATGGAAGATCGGAAGATCTACATACATACCACTCAATTCCTATGTGTTCACATATCTAACACCTAAACTTAATTTTTTACATCTATGCCATCTTGCCTAGCATGAAAAAGATGTATTTCAATTTTTAAAATTATAAAATAGTATTTATTTTATGTGATATGAATGATTTGGGTTGTGAAAATGTAAAAAGTAAATTTTAGGTGTTAGATATGTAAATACATAGGAATTGACTGGTATATATGTAAACGCCCGTTTAATTTAATTGATTAAATGTATTACCAGAAGGCCCTCTTTTAGTGCCAACTCTCTTGCCATCTTCACAGCATCATCACTGCTAACCTGTAAAATGCAATGCAACCCAACAAAAAAAAAACGATTTCTTTTGTTGAAAAATCTCCAAAAACCCATTCAAACATAGAGAATGAAAAAGAAGAGAGAACAGGGAAAAAAATACCATACAAAAACACACAGAAATTCTAATGATTCTCCCAACTGATGGCGATGTTCAGTTGAAAACAAATATTGGGCTCTACAATTTAACAAGTTTGCATAAACTCTATAGCTTATTGCAAGTGAATTCATTACTTACCTCAAGAACTTTTTCCATTACATCCATATCCAGAATATCCGGCTTAAAACCAACCCCATTTCCAGTTATCTGGTGAGGACCTGCTCGAAGATGTTTGAAATATATCAAAATTTACCTAACAGAAATTTTTTTTATATTCAATAACGGCACTGCAATGCTATGGAATGCTTAATCAATATTAACCTGGTTTTCCTCCATTTAAAACATTGCTTTCTGAAGGCTCAACTCCATAAATCTAAAGAAAAACAAATAAAAATGATAATATGTGCAATTCACCATATCTATATAGTTTTTAATGAGTAATTTTTCTGAATGTGTGAAAGTAGTACCTTAACATTAGGGTTCATCGATTTAAGATATTTTCCCACACCTGTCACAGTACCTCCACTTCCAATTCCCATCACAAAGATGTCCACTTGGCCCAAAGTATCCTCCCAAATTTCAGGACCAGTGGTCTCAAAATGTATCTGGAATTCGTTTTGTCAGGCTTCATTTGTATAAACTATGAGAGATAAGCTAAGAAGTTTTGCAAAAATATAAAATGTTAGATTCAAAGTATAAAGCTAAGAGCTACTGAATACGGAATAAATCAGGTAATTTTTTCAAAAACAGTATGTGCTATAGAAGATAAAAGAAGATGGTTTTAAAACAATGTATTTGATAGGATACAATGTTCATTAGTTCTTGTATTAGATTAATGAACATAGTTAATTAGTTAGTTAATAATGAAAAAAAAATAGAAATGCAGCTTTACATTTTGATTTTGCAGTATAGAATCAGTTTCTTGTTTATTGAACCTCCTGATTTTCATAGAATTGAACCTTTCGAAGCAGTGAACTACATATTCCTCTTCAAACTAAGCAATAAACAGCACAGCACTAGCTACGTTCACCTCAGAAACATAATGGTATATTATTAATCTAAATTTTGATTCATAGGATATTGCAGTAACAAATTAAATATTTTTTGGCCCATTATGTCATTTTAGTAAATATTATTCTACTATTTTCACTATATTGTTGCATCCTTTTGTTTTAGACATCGTACTCAAAACTTAACCAGAGTGCAGCTTAGATCTGCTGCCTTGCTAAGCTGAACTAAAAGTTTTAAATTAAATTCAGATTCTAACTTTTTGTTTTGAAAATATATATTCTAACTTCTTTTGGATCTGCAGCTTTTGCAAATGCAAAATTCGAAGTGTATTATACGTAGTATGAAATTGATAGGCCTGCTCCTACAGATGAAAGAGCTAGACATACCGCCGGTCCAATGAGGACCGGTATGGACCGGCCAGACCCAGCCAAACTAGCTTGTTTGGCCAAGCCAACCAGCTTAGCCGAAAAGTGCAGAAACCCTAGGAGGTGCTGAGGACGATTTCAGCATTCGGGTGAGGCCCACACAAGCTCTATTCACGTACAAGAGGAGTGGAATTATGGGGGGTTTTGGGATAAAATTTTAAATGGTTTTTTGAGAGTATTTATGAGGGCTAATTGGCTAAATATTATTTTATGTTTTGATTTGCCGCAGTTTTTCTTTTTTCTTGGTGTTCCTAGCAGTGTCAAGGCTTTGTGGAGGACGATCTACATCTCGAACAATAAATCAATGTTGTAACTTGTTTGTTTTCATTGGTATTAGTAAAATCGGTCCTCATTTGAGTTTCCTAACCTTTCTATTGCAATTTATTCGTTGTTTCTTTGCTATTTTTAGTTTCGCATCGTATCAGAACTTTAGCTTATCCACTAGTCACATTATCTTGCGAGAGGACTAACTTGTAAATCAGAAAGAATGAAGATCAAACCGCTAAATTAGGAGTTTTCTATAATTCAGAGCTTCCTTATTTCCAATATCTTTATTTTGATTTATTTCCCTTTTAGCTGAATATTTGGATTAGGAATATGTATTATTAAGTTAGCTAAAATATATTGCACGCTAAAATATATTGCAATATATTGCACAGAATATTTTGTACCTAAAATAGATTGTAAGATTATTATTTAATGAAATGAAAGCAAAGGGAAAAGACAATCGAGCCTATTCATAATTCACTCTATTTTTCTCAAAACTTTGACATTATATCAGAACAAAATTTTTGCCTTAACCACCGATAATTGTTGGAGTACCATCAAGACTCTCTTCCTGTCGGCCTTCTTGCAGGACGAGAAGGGAGGAACTATTCCTTTGCCTTGATTATCGCTCGTCTGCTCGTCGTCTCATTTTTTCTTCATATCTCCTTCGCTAGCTATCGCTGCTTCTGCGACATCTTTGACTGCTTCTTCCACTTCGGCTTCGTCCTCTTCGACTTCGGCTTCTTCGTCGTACTCAATGATTGAATGCTTCGAAACTACTTCCTAGACCAACGGCTTCGGCTTTGACAAACCATAGATCTTAAGCTTCGGCACGCACGGCTTCGGCACTCACGGCTTCGGCACTCTCAGGCTTCAACACTCTCAGACTTCGACACTCACGACTTAAGGATTTTTTGGTCCCGACAATGTTATCAGTTTCTTGTTGGCAAATTGATGTTTCATGATCAGTCAACATCAATTTGAAGGGGATGTCAATCAGGAAGGGCGAAAATCAGGCAGTTAAATTAGAAGTTTTCTATAATTAGAAGCTTCCTTATTTCCAATATTTTTATTCTGATTTATTTCCCTTTTAGCTGAATATTTAGATTAGGAATATGTATTATTAAGTTACCTAAAATATATTATACAGAATATTTTGTACCCAAAATAGATTGTAAGATTATAATTTAATGAAATGAAAGCAAAGGGAAAAGACAATCGAGTCTATTCAGAATTCAACCTATTTTTCTCAAAATTTTGACATAACTGAACTGGTTAACTTTCACTGGATTCATTTTCGAAAAAGAAAACTATCAGAGCAGACACAACTATTATGATTAACGAACTAAAAAATATAATCAAGCTTTGTTACTTAATTAACTGAAGTATGTGGTTTTCTCTAACAGGGTTTGGATTCAAATCTCTTCTTTCAACTAAACATTTTTTTTACACAAATATTTGTCAATGTCTGAGAATAGGAAAATCAGGGAGCAAAAACAGCTGTCTTAGTTGTAATATGCTATGTATTAGACACCTATGTTATTTTGTAATATGGAAACACTATTTTGTTATTTTGTTATTAGACAACTACTATTAAAAACCAACAAAAAGGCCTAAGAACTGCAAGATGGAAATGTAACATTATGTTAACTGAAATTCAAATAATAAAAAGTAAACATTACATTAACATTTGCAGGATTCTCAAATTGTTGGAGCATAAATGCATCAGGGTAAGATTCTGCAAGTTCATAAGCCTTTTTTACTGTGCCTCCCATTCCCTTAGTAGGATCAGTGAGAACTAAATTTGCGCCAAAGGCCCTCATGGTCACCCTCCTCTCAATGCTCGTATATGATGGCATTGTGAGTATAAGATTGTAACCTTTCATGGCTGACATAAATGCTAGTCCAATTCCCATATTTCCAGATGTGGGTTCAATCAATGTGGTCTACACTAGTAAGAAAACTAATATAAGAATGAAATACAATCAGTTATCACACCAACAAACAATAAAAAACGTTACTATTTATGCTATAAACCTTTTTGTGATAGGAATTTGTGCAAGGTTTGGCTTAATCATTTAGCATTGAAAATAAATTACATGCAAAATAGATAAATGCTTCGACACTTTCTACGGTATGGGGCTTATTATGCATTAAAAAATAGCCTAAATAAAAATAAAAAGAATAGTATAATCTTTTATTTATTATTTTAATTGTTATAAAAAATCAAATTTATATAAATTCACATAAATTTAATATCTTTAAAATAAATTTAAAATAAAAAATAAATAGATTTTTTATTTAATTTTTTTATTATTTAAAATATTGAGTTTATGAGAAAGAAATGATGTTGAAGGTTATAATTGAAATGAAGTATGTATAGTTCATGCATCTATTAAAGAAATAAAATTGAATTCTTTTAGTGCTTGAATGAGCAGCATATTGACTGAAAATAAAGAGAGAAATCCCAAGGCGTTTGCTCCAAGCTCTCATCTTGCCAGAAATAAAACAATTTATTGGTTTTCATTTATTTATTAGGTTTTTATTTATATTTATTTATTTATTATAATTAATTTTTAAATTAGTATAAGTTTCACATGAAATTTACAATTTCATTAAATTATATTAATGCGAGAATTCATTAAAACTTGGAATTATTTTTCTTTATTTTTAATTATTTTTAGTCGATTATACAAAAAAATAATTTAATTTTATATTTTATATTATTAGTTATAATTTAGATTGGTGTTTTAACATACTTTAGTGCTCTGTAATATTAATAAAAGAATTAATTTATATTTTTTAAACATTTTAAAACATATGATTAATAAATAGTATTATAAATAAATGTATGTGTAGCTTATGCATTCAAATAAATTCAAAAATCTTGGGTATATTGATTTTAAAAATATTACAAAAATTCATGTTATAATATTTAATGAAATAATTAAAATATTAATATAAAATGATTTTAGAACACAATGAACTTTGATATGAACAAATTACGAAGTTCTTCTTTCTCTAAACTCTCAAAAAACCATTCCAAATTGTCTACTTCATCTTTTCCTCCCATTTATATATATATTTTTTATATTGATCAAATAAGGTTGACAAAACTGACCTTCCCTGGAGTTATCAATCCTCTTTTCTCCGCATCTTCCAGCATAGCATAAGCCGGTCTGGATGCAAAGACACGAGCCCACATTAAAATCAAGGGAAACTTACACGCATCCCAATTAATTCTTATGTATTTGCATATCTAACACCTAAATTTCAATTTTTTACACACATACATACCTCCTTACACATGCATGGATGCATGGAAAAGAGTATTTCATCTTTTAAAAGTTATAATGGTGGTATTTTTTCATTTGATATGAAAATTTTTTGTGGCGTGTTAGATATGTAAATACATTAATCAATCTACACAAATCATCCCATGCCACTATTGTCTCCTTACTTAACAAAACAGAGGAAAAATCTAAGGAACAAACCTGTCCTTCACACTAAAGGAAGGCTGCAAGAACTCGAGCTTAGCAGCCACCCGAGCTTCACATCCTTCACAAACTTTGTTCAGGTAGACTAATGGCGTCCGCCCTATGAGCTGAAACATTTAATCCATATCAAGAAACGATTTAGTCGATTAATTGGTAAATGCTAAAGTAATATATGCAATCGTCTTCAGAAATTCTCCATATTTTCAAATCTTGGTATAAAATTTTACAAAAAGGGTTTTATCTTCTCCTTCTTACCGTAAAACTAGGGTTTAATAAGCAACATTCCTTTCAACAACGAAACATAATTCTCTCCAGAAATTCTCCATGTAAATCAGCATTAATCCACTTCAAATATAGAAAAAAAAAAAAAAGAAGATTGAAGTACTGTATGAACTCCGAAGAGAGCTTGCCTGGGTTGCATCATTCCTAATCTTAGTCCCAGCAGAATCCCTCAAGCTGGGAGCTACTTGTTGCGCTTCTTCTATTGCTTGCCCTGCAGAGATAGCAGAGCTTCTCCGGAGCAGCGAGCTCCCCTTCCTCACAAGGCCAAGAAAACTCGTCATCGCTCTCTACTCCCTCTGTCTCCCTCTCGCTCCTTTTCGTCCTCCCCCCTCCCTCTCTTATATCTCTCCTGTGAAGCAAGAGAAATTATTGCGTGCGGACACCGCATGCATTTCTGTATGCGGTGTCCGATCCTGACCGTAGATCACGGTGATCTACGGTCAGAATTATTTCTGTTTTTTTATAAAAAAAAAATTTAGGTGAAGCCCACTGAAATACATCGGGACCGTAAATCAGTTGATCTACGGTCCGGATCGGGCACGGTGTCCGATCCGTATGGAATAATTTTTCGTGAAGCAAGGGGGCCGGCGTCCAGGGACATACTTATAAGCCAAGAATCTAATTTGTTTTTTGAGGCATTTACATACCTACAAAATATTACATCAGAACTTCACGTGTCAGATGGATTCCATCATTTTCAACACTCGCCAATATCAATATATTACGATGAGACTCACTTGACATACGACGTCTAATCATTGTACTCCGAAGGTAAGGTGCAGAAGAGTCTTGATATAATATTTTCTCTTTACATACACCATGTATTCAAGTACCAAACACCAAAACTTTATTTTTTACTTTTTTACCATTCAAACTGTGTAGTATCATTTTAACTTTCAAGAAATGAAACACAAATATGTGTGCTAAAATTAATAGTTAGGTGTTAGATATGTAAATACATTGGAATTTAGTGCTATTATGTAAATCTCTTTTTTTGTTTTTTTTTTTTTTGGATAATTACATGCATTGCTTTGGAACGCACGTATGTAAATCCTATAGTGCAATTTTATTATTTTCTTTACAAATATAAATTATAATCGATTTTTAATTTATTCAATTATATGAAAATAAATTATTATAAATATTGAGTATTAGTGTATTATTCAGTGAGCCTGCAGACCTATCGATCTATACAATTAAATAATACATATGAAATTTTATTTAAATTAGAAAAAATAATATATAGTTTTTGGTATCTCAAGTTTTGCCTTCAAATATTTAAAATGAACTATTTTTAGCTAAAAAATAAATAATATATTTCACTTATTTCATTAAAAAATAGTATATTTAATATAAGTATTTTTTTTCATCAAACCTCTTATTACGTTTTTCTTCTTTGGACATAAATTCAGCACGTAGAAATTAAAATAGTAATTTAAACATGGCCTAATTTGAAAGTACCATGTTTTTTCACTTGTTCAGGATGTTTTTTTTGGATCATTTTTGTTTTTGAGTATTTTTATTTTAAAAGTATATATGTTTAATGTCATTTTTTTTTATGCTTTTTAATTTTTTTTTAAATTAATTTATTTTAAAGAGATTTTAGCATCTAAAAAAATATGTTGAATATTTTTAAAAATAATTAATAATTATGACATATCAAGTATGAGTCAGCACGAAACTTCAGGATATCCCACAGTTGGCAGAGCATCGTGGAGACCTGTTAGGAATAATTTGATATCTCACGCATCGTCAGCCGCTCATATAGATCAGAAGGAAAGCATTCTCCAGACGGATGAAATTTGACCACCTTCTTAGAAATCAACCTGTCGGGGCAAGACCCACATTAAGAAATTCGACACATTTAACTATTCCAGGGGAATGGCCAAAATGAATCCTCCAACCCCGAAACAGCTAGCCATAATTTTCTACCAATTCCGCACACAACAAATATTCAAATCGACATTCTACATTGGGCCCCCAGCAAATAGCTGCCGGAACAAAATAAAGCTGGGCGGTCACAAGCACTCGGCTCTATTCAGCCAAACAACTTACCACGATGTAATATTCCTCATTATCATCATCATAAATCATCCTTGTTAGCAATAAATAAACCAAGGCAGTAAAAAACTATATTTTAGGAGTCTTAACCAAATAATAAGGCCAATAACCTCAAACACTCTTTTTTTTTATCTCACCCCCAACTTTATATGCCAATAAATAGCTATAATATCTTTCTTTTGATATGCTTAAAGCAAATTTCTACATATATAGAAATAACTCAAATAAACAACCCTAAACCATAATAATCATAAAATTTAGACAATTGTAACCTAATATCATAATTGAATCATTATCAAATATATTTTTTTTAAAATTAATGATTTAATAATAATAATAATAAAGTATTCAATCACGATTTCAATCATTTTAAACAAAATTTTGAATGATGATTGTTTCATGATCAAGGTACCGTGTAAACATCCTCATCCGTGATGCAATAAATCTTCAAAACTCCTTTGAAAATTGATTGAATACTAATTAAATCATCTTCAAATACAGTTGATCATATTCACATAGTTCGATTATTTTTTCGTTCAAGATTCAGAGGTGGTTCAAAAATTACCCAAATTATGATAAAATTAATTAAAAGATGACTCAATCATAGCTTAAATATTAGTCTAACCATAATCAAATGTGATTAGAAGATAATTAAAAGATCATTCAATCATTATTTAATTATTATTTGGTCATAACTTTATAATGAACCTTCAAAGATGGCTCTAACAATTTTCTAGAGTGTGAACACCATTTTAATCATAAATAACCTTTGAATATCATCACTAACCATAAAAAAATAACCCCCAAAGCTTTACTATTGTTAAAACATATTATATAACATCAAAATAGAAAATATGAACCTCAAATAATTTTATAAGATTAAATTTATAAATATTATAGACTATAAATCATTGTACATGTATCCTTTTTTTGATTCATCTCATTCAAATTAGCAAACGTGCATCATTTCTCAACCTTTTCCGGTGGCTATTAGTGTTGGAGCATTAACTCCCTAAATTAATTAGTTAATATTAATTGGAATTAAATTAGCAATGTGGTAACCTTTGATTCTTCGAAAAGCCAATGTGCCTGAGACTTCAGGAAGTAATTCATTTTACAAAAATACCTTTTCAAAACCCAAAAGAGTTAACTTAGAAGATTCACTAATTTTAATTTATTATGTAAAGCTAATGGTGTGTTTGAGGAAAAAATATTTTATGCTGACAGCGTATGCAGAGATGTCTGCGATGTCCGATCTCGACCGTCGATCAAGATTTTTTTTAAAAAAAAAATTAAAAATAAGACCCACCAAAATACACGTTTGCTCTAATCGACGATCGAGATCGACAGCACATGCAGATATGCATACGCTGTTCATATAAAATAATTTTTCGTGTTTGAGACCGGCAAAAACTGAGAAGTTATATTTTGCAACTTGACCTAATTAACTTTGAGAACTGCCAAAAAAGATGAGTCTGACTTTTTATTCTTAAAAAAAAAATTATAATAGCCATCTCAACTTTTTGAAGAACAATTTTTTCTACAACAACTTCAAAATCACTTTTTCAATTAGTTGCAACCGCCTCAAATATATCATAAATTCCATTAATCCAACTTATAATTAAAAAATAATAATTTGATATTCCTTGCTTTAATATTACAAAAATAGCACTCAAAACTTTGTTATTTATAAATGTAGCACCCACTTTCATCCATTCTTAAGATTCTCCATAAAATATCAAAATTCACAAGAAAACCTCAGCACATATTTTCATTTTTATGAAATAAACATTGTTTTGATTATGAGTTCGTGTTTGATTCATTCGATAAGTAAACGAGACGAACATGAACAAATTTTTTTTCGTTCGGTTAGTTAAATGAACAAAACACAAACAGTGATGCGTTCGTTCGTGTTCGAATCATTATTGTTCGAAATATAAAATAATTTAAAATAATTATATATTAAAAATTTATGATATTTAAAAAAATTAAAATTTATAAATTATAATATATAATAAATTAATAATAATAATATATTAATATACTATATTAATAATATACTAATATAGATATTATATATTTATATTATATAAGTTATATAATTAATATAATATATTATTTAAACAGTGACTTCACGAACAATTTCGAACATGAACTCATTTCAAACAAACTAAATCTCAAATGTACCGAACACGTACACAAACTCTGTTCGTTCATGTTCGGTTCCTTTACACCCCTAAACTTGAGTGTATATAAAGTTTGGAGCATTTACATGCATACCACACTATTCTTTTGATTTTGCATATTTTATACATAAACATTCATATTTACATGCATACCGTTCAAATCATTAACATCGCATAAAAATATCACTTCAATTTCTTTTGAAAAGTGAAATATACATTTTCACGTATAATTTATTGACAAAATGTCGTCCTTACATCAGTTTATTTTATTGGGTCAAATAGGATAGATTTGAAATACATTAATAGTAAATTAGATGATGAATTCTTGATATATCAATACATTATTTTACATTTCTATTTCATCCAATCAATAATTTAAAACGGGTTTTTTTTAAGTATAAATCATCCAAAATATTAAATATAACATTTTAACAACCCAAACTTCAAAATATAAAATTTTAAGTGAAGATTTGAGTGATTAAAATATTATATTTAAGATTTTGGGTGGTTAAAATATTAAATTTAAAATTTAGGTAGTTATAATGTTATATTAATTGTTGTGGGTAGTTGGTATATAAAAATCTTATTTTAAAAATAGGACAATTTTTTTTATATATTACATATTTAACATATATACTTTGCTTTTTTATATTTATACCACTCAAATCTTTTATTTCATATTAAAAATACCACTATTTTAATTTTTCAAAAATGGAACACACTTTGTCATGTACCATAAGACATATATATATATATCTATATATATATATATATATTCAACAACG